CGGGCCCCCCCGCCTCCTCCAGCCTCAGGCCAGTGCCACACCCAGTGACTTCCTTGGTTTGGTTTGGTTTTTACTGACTCCTCTGTGATCCTTTTCTCTTCTTTCTCAGCCCTCTTTTTTTTTTTTTTTTTAAAGGATTTTGCCTTAGGGTGCATGTGCTAGCCAGAGAGAGGCAATGAGAGGGAAAGTGAGAAATCACCCCTGGGGGGGCGGGGGATGGCCATGCTACAATCCCTTCTCCTGGGTTTTGGGCATGACACACATGATTTTCAAGCCACTGGGTCTCAAACCACAGTCAGCCATATGGGAGTCCAGCACCCTAAAAGCCATGGCACTTGCTGGCCCCAAACCCTCTTTTCTTTATGTCTCTCCCTTCCCACCCATCTCTCTTTTTTCCCTGGCAGTCTCTGTCTCCCTCATGAATTCATTCTTTCTCTCCTCCCTCACTCATCCTTCCCCAACATCTTCTCTCTCACTCTCCTTTGGTTTCTGATTGGCCATGAGAAGCTCACAGATTCAGAACCATCCAGACTTAAAGCCATACCCCAGAGTGTACTTAATGCCACCAAATTGTATACTTAGAAATAGTTCAAATGCAAGTTGTGCTCCGTATCTTCGACCACGATTTTGAAATACTTTGATTTCTTTTACTCGTGATGTAAAAGTGTGTGCAGTACACAGGAGGAAGGCAGGCGCGCCCTCGATGGAGCCTCGTCACTCCTCGGTCCCCTCCCCCAGCCCCCTGGCTCATCAGCACCTTGCCACATGCTCTTGGCCTGTTACCAGGGCAAACCGGGAATCCAGACCTGTGGTCAGCCCTGTGGCTTCCAGCACTACAGTTGAGTTTGCTCCTATGGTGCCACCAGGCTGGGCCCAGCTTTAAAATAATTATTTAAAATAGTTTAAAAATAATATGTGAGGGACCAGCAGTTGGCGTAATGGCTGTGTCTCTGGACTCCCATGTAGTCGACTGTGGTTCGAGTCCTGGACCCAGTGGCTTAAACTCATACAGGGCGTGTGTGCCCAAGATCCCAAGAGGAGAATGGAGGAGAAGGGATTGCGGTGTGTCCATCCCCTTTGGGGGTGATTCTCACTTTCTGTCTGTCTCTGTCCTTCTGGCAGGCACATGCGCCCTATAGCAAAAACCTCCCTAAAAAAAGAAAAAATAATAATAATTTGGAGACCTATTTCTACCTGACATCTAAAAATATACTTTTGAAAGTGAAAACAACTCAAAACAAAACCACCTTTGCAAGCTGCCCTTACTCGCTGGCTAAGTGACCCTAGGGAGGTCATTCCACCTCTCTGAGCCCCAGCTCTGTCTTTATAAACTGGGTGTTAACAGGAGGCCCTGGTGAGGTTGGAAGGAGGTGTACAGCAGACCGCAGGGAGCAGAGTGCCCGGAGCCTGCAGGCTCTCCACCACCGCCAGTGTCCTCTGCCTCCTCTCTGGCCTTTTCTTGGCCGCCTCCTCTCTTTCACAGCCAGTCCTTACTTTACTGTCCTCTTGAGTCCCCATCCTGTGTCAGAGGTCAGCCACAGGGTCCCGGCAGAGCAAAGGGACAGGGTGCCCTCGGGAGCCCCTCACAGGTGGTTAGTAATAGTATTAACAACCCTGTAGTTATCGGTAGTAGTAATGGCATGGCTCAGGTTGGGCTCTGGGACTTGCCCTGCCAGCCCTATAAGTGAAGGCACCCATGTCCCCATTAGCGGCGGATAATGGACCTGGTCCCATAGGCCACTCCCTTCACAGCAGGGGCCTGCTTGCACAGCCTCCTGTGATGTGTCCTGGCACTCTCAGTCCTAGAGACATAGAGGACAGACTGCTGTGGGCCAGAAGCAGGCTGGGCCCACCCACCATCTCACACCAGGACGGCGCAGGCGGCCCAACCCTGGGTGTGCTAGTCCAGGTGCTGCCCGCCGCTCCGTGGGCTCCGAGCTTGGGAGGACAGCCTGGTGCTGGCCCAAGGCTGGGAGGCCAGAGGCTCTGTCTTTGTCCTCCCTGCACCTCCTTGCCTGCCCGTGAGCATGGATAAGGTGGTGAGCCCCTGCCCCCCGCCCCGTGAAGGTTTCCCTCTGTCCAACTGTTGGGTGCTGCTGACACCTTCTTGACTCGATGGTCCCCTTGAAAGGGGCCACTCCTGCAGGCTCGCAGCCTGGGAAATAAGGCGCAGGCGCTCTACTCTCCAGGCCGTGCAGTATCCACCTTGGGAGAGAGGCAGAGCCACCACCCCGGGAGCCACACCCACCCACCACCTCCCAGATGGCTCCTGGGCCATTGGGACAGGATTGTCCTCACTGTCAGGGATCCCAGTGCAGGACCTGCCCACTCCCCACGGGCACGGCAGTTACTGTGATCGCTTCATTGGGTGAGGACCTGAGCAGCCTCCTGTGTTAGTGGACAGAGCTCTCACCAGGGCGAGAGACGTGAGAGCTGATCTCAACTCTGCTGGAAACTTTACGGGGGGAGGGGGGTTTGGCCTGGCCCTACCCTCTGTGCCTCAGTTTCTCCAAATGTGAAAGGAAGGGGCTGGGTGAGAGCCACATGACTCACCAGATCCATTTGTGGCCGAGTCGTTACTGTTACTCAGGTACAATCTGCCCCAAGCACTTGACCAGGTTGAGGGAACTCTGCAGGCCACACAGCTGGATGAGGGGCTCAGGACTCCAACCTGCCCCGTGCAGCCTACCCTTAGCCACCGTGCTGCGCCCATACAGTGTACAGCCCCACTCTGAAGGAATAACACTCCTTGCCCATGGCAAGGAGAAGCAGCTTGAGGAATCTGAGACAGGCACCATCAGGGAGGTCTTCCTGGAGGAGGAGGCCTCAGGGTCTTCCCACAGGCCTTGGAGAGAAGCTGCTAATGGGCTCCTAACCCCTGTGGCCTCACTCCTTTGCTGAACTTTGTTGAGAGGGGGGTGAGCAGAAGAGAGCAATCCCTTTAGGCAAGGGAGCCCTTGCAGGGGAGGGGCGGCCTCCCAGCCCTGGCCATGCAGGCTCCTGAGTGGGGACCAGTGAGAAGCTGGCATCACACCTGCATATGCCCTCTTCAGCTGAGCAGTGAGCCCTTTACTGGGCCAGGCTCTGCCATGGCAGTGAACAGAACAAAGTCCGCCGCATTCCCCACAGGAGGCGGGGACTAGCAGGCCGGCATGTCTGACCAGCATCAGTCCAGGTGGCGGTGCGCTGGGCTGCTGGGCTGAGAGGGGACCACAGCTGCACACACGCAGTGCCAGGGCAGCAGTGGGAGTTCCGAGCCGCGCTTTGAGAGCCAGAGCAGGTGGGCACAGGGGCAGGCATGGAGCTTCCCTCTGGGTGAGGCTGAGCTAAAAGTTGACCCTGACTGGGAAGAGTTCCAAGAGGGGGCTGGGTGTGCAACGGCTGGAGGACCCCTGGGAGCTGAGGCTCTGGGTGACACCCAGTGAGGCTGCAGCAGGGTGTGGGTGCGGGTGCACCTGCAGCTTGATAGTCACTTGGGGTGGGGCCCGTGGGGCTTGGAGGCCACATGGAGCCCCTGGGTCTTTATGCTAAGCTGTAACCCCAGGAGTGGCGTGCCAGTGTGCACTTCGAAGAGCACACACAAGCCGCAGGGCAGAGTGGATCAGAGTGGGCAGAAGGCTCAAGCTAGTTGTCACCATGTCCAGGTGTGTGGGGATGGCAGCTCGGGCCAGGGTGGAGGCCAGGGCAGGAGAGGGACAGAGGGAAGCTAGGAGCACCTTGGCAGAAGAACCAGCAGGACTCAACGGAGGACAGGAGAGAAATGTCCGGGCCTCACATCCTCAGCCTGTCCCTTGACGGTGCCTCTCCCCTCCCCCAGGCCTGCGGGTGCGAGAGGTACAGATCGAGGTGTCGCGGCAGCAGGTGGAGGAGCTCTTTGGGCTGGAGGATTACTGGTGCCAGTGTGTGGCCTGGAGCTCCGCGGGCACCACCAAGAGTCGCCGGGCCTACGTCCGCATCGCCTGTACGCCACCCCAGCACCCCCTACCTGTCCCTCCCCCTTGGAGAAACTGCAGAGGGAATTCCACATCCTCCTGGGGCATCCTAGAAAAGATGCCCATGCACAGACATCCGGGCACAGGGATGCCAGCTTAGAAGAGGATTCCCAAACCTAGTGCCTAGGCCCTTCCAACCTCAGAATTTCAATCCCTTTTCACTTACTTCTGTGTAAGGAAGCTGATAGCTTCTGCAACCACCCCCCATCCTGGGCCCGTATGTGCTTAAGATCCTGGAGTCAGAGAGGTAACCCTGTTCCCTCAACTCAAATCCAGTGAGTTCCATCCTGGGAGAAAAGGGAATTCCCTAGGTCAAGACTAGGTGTACCCTATGCACAGTTCCCTTGGTGTGCACTGCCACCTGGTGGTTACAGTGGGGCACTTCAGGGTCCACCTGGCGGCCTTATTCTCTCACAGACCTGCGCAAGAACTTCGACCAGGAGCCTCTGGGCAAGGAAGTGCCCCTGGACCATGAGGTTCTCCTGCAGTGCCGCCCGCCCGAGGGAGTGCCTGTGGCCGAGGTGAGCAGGGACGTGGGGAACACTGGCATAGCAGAGGCCAGCCAGGCATGGGGTTCACCACCAGGTGAAGTACCGCAGCCTCCCAGAGCCCTCCTCATGTCACAGGTGGGGAGGTGGAGGCTTGGGACAGAAAAGGGAACTGCTCCCTCTGCAGAATTCAGCATATGCCAGCAGGCCCTCCACAGGTGTGACCCCACAGGATACAGTGGGGCTGAGGCAGAAACCATCCGGGACCTCAATGGTGCCACTGTCTCCCATCCCTGACCCCAGAACCCAAGACCCCAGCTTTGTGGGTGCCAGTATCTTACCTCAGAGTGCAGTGCCCAGGTCTCCCTTTCCCTCCCCACTGGCCTTTGGGCACCATTCGCTCTCGCCACCCCTACCTTGTTCCAGACATGCTTCCTCCCTCTCGTGCTCTCTGCCCTGATGGGCCAGGAGTTAGAGCAGACCTGGGGGCTTGTCTGCTCTGCCACCAGGGCCCCAGGACAACAGGGGCTGGGGAAGACAGAAGCCTGGACTCCGCTCCAGATCAGCTATGTCAGACCCCACAACCTTACTGATCCCTCCGCCGCCCTCAGCCCGTGCTCTGATCTGGACACACACTCCATGTGCAGGCTGCCGCTCCCTGGCTCCCAGGCGTGCTCAGCTCTGAGCACGCTATAGCCCTGCAAGGCAGCTACTGTCACCCCATCTTCCCGCTCAGACACAGTGTGGGCGGGGGTGAAGGAGCCACTCGGTGAGGCCTCATGAGTAGCACAGGTGGGACTTGAGCCCAGGTTCCCTGCTCTGAGCCACCAGCCGGACTGCTTGCCCAGGCCAGCAGAGCCAGTGTGAGGCGGGCATGGTGTAGACTCGCAGGACTATCTAGCACTTGGCCAAGCTAAGCTCCCAGCGTCAGCCAGTACTCGCCCTACAATCCCACAGCAGCCCTGCAGGGACCTGCTGTTCACACCCACCCACAGCTGATAAAGCAAGGCCCCGGGTCCCAAGTCTCCTGCCGAGACAGCTGGGTGGTCTTTAACCATGGGGCCGCGTAGTGCCAGCACAGCCCTGCCTCGGGGTCAGCACCATGGCAGGGACCCAGGTAGCACTGCCGTTCTGTTTATGGTCAGACCTCCCCTCTCCTTTGCCCCATAGCGGGCTGTTCCCCAGATGTAGGCCCTGGGTCTTCACTGCCCCCACCCCACCTCCACCCCACAGGTGGAATGGCTCAAGAACAAGGACGTCATCGACCCCA